GGGGGAGGGGGGGGGCTGTGCAGGAAATCAAAACTGACTAAAAGAAAACTGCTGTAAGGGTTAAAAGTTTTCCAGACCTCTCTCCCTGTATCAGAGAGAAATCAAATTAACTCTAATCAAGACCCTTACAATGCCTCCTATCTCAAGTTCATGGATACTCCTAGTCTGTCACAATTTGTCATGTAAACCCTTATCTTTGTCACAGTTTGCCTTGTAAACTTCTCCACTCAAGTTCTCATATGGCTTTGTTCTGTAAAACTTACTTCTAGCACTCCTGGTGTGAACAGAAACATCTCAGAGTACTTCTGCTGAGACTTTGATATGTTAAAGAAAACAATCAACAACTGAACTGTCTAAGCATTCTGTATAAAGGATCCCTAAACCTGTATCTCAGGGCTGCTTTCACTCTTGGAAGTGACAGCCTGCATGCATGCATAATAAAGTTTTTCCTTCTAGGTTTCTCTCCTACCTCACGGTTTTGACCTCCAGCCTCGGACCCTTCTGGAGGCTCTGTACCCCAGGGGAGCGAGATTTCCCCCACATTGCTCGCAAGTATCTGAGGGACTAATTTAGTCTTTCAGTCATCTCTTATAGCCCCTGATATTGACACTTTTACTTATGTCTATACAGCACCTAACACAATGGCGCCTCAATCCTGAGTTGGAGTCTCAAACTCTTAGAGTGATTTAGGCCTAGATTCTATTTTAAACTATATGGCAGAAAAACTGAGTAAGAACCTCCCCTTATGGCCTGTAGTGGGATCCTACAGGAAAATGGAGCTACTCACCCATTTATACTTTGCCTGGAGACAGAGAGAATGGAGCTTTGGCTCCACTCTCATAACTTGTTTGCCAGAGTAGCCAAGCCAGTGCAAGGAGCATAATAATTCACTGCGGAGTTATACCAGCCAGATGTCATTGCACACATGCTCCCAGAATAAGGAGCAAATGGAGGGAATTGTAACTGGAAGGGATGCTTCTCATTCACAATACCTCCCAGGACTATTCCTGGGATGGTGCATCTTATGCACCTCCTCTTCCCCAGAGCTAAGGTCGGACTCTAACCCACAGACAAGAATAATTTATCTGTTGTGTACAAAGAGGACATCATTTATTTTAAAGGAAGTACCATCTACTTGGCAGAATTCTAGCCGGGCAACTATTCCCAGTAACTCAAGTGGGATTTCCAGGACTATAAATCTGGTGGGTTTCTGAATTCCTCGGCTACCCAATACTTACATTGATAATGGCATCTGTCTGAATGTAATCCATATCCGAGTCCCTCAGGCCTAGCTCCTTTCCATCGCGCTGAGCAGTGCTGACGATACCTGTTGTCACAGTGTTCTGCAAGGCAAAAGGGCTCCCAATAGCCACAACAAACTCCCCAGGCCTCAGATCTGCAGAGTGGCCCAGTAATAATACAGGTAGTTTTTTCTTTAATAAAAAGTAAAGAGGAAGAAAACAAAGAATTACTGTCAGTTGGTGGCTGAGTATATCAAGGCAAAATGTAAGTAGTAAATCCTATCAGGATACCACAAGTCAGGCCTGCTCAATGCATGCAGTTACTGCTACTGTCTTCAGTGCTCACGGAGCTTCCTTGCAATTATTAACGATGGTAGAATAAACCCTAACAAGATTCTGGGACAAACTCACCTGTTTTCCATGGGATCTCCATTGTCATGGTGTGCAAGCCCTAGAAGCTGGACTCTGCCGTCCTGACTTACATTGTGCAATATCTTAGCGTATGTCTACACTAGCCCCTAGTTCGAACTAGGGAGGCTAATGAGGGCGACTGAAATTGCAAATGAAGCGTGGGATTTAAATATCCCGCGCTTCATTAGCATGTTCCCAGGCGGTCGCCATTTTGGAAACTGACTAGCCCAGAATAACTGCCTGTGTCGACATGCGGCAGTGAAATGGGAGTTTGAAGTAAACCCCTAACTCGAATTAGCTGTTACTCCTCTTGGAATGAGGTTTAACAGCTAATTCGAGTTAAGGGGTTTACTTTGAACCGTGTAGATGCGGGCAGTTATTCCGGGCTAGTCAGGTTCCAAAATGGCAACCGCCCAGGAACATGCTAATGAAGCGTGGGATATTTAAATCCCGCGCTTCATTTGCAATTTTGGTCGCCCTCATTAGCCTCCCTAGTTCGAACTAAGGAGCTAGTGTAGACGTACCCTTACTTCCCAAGTAGAATCACTGAAATCAATAGGATTATTTCATGGAGTAAGGCACCACTTACTGTGAGTAAAAGTAGCAGAGTCTGACTGTGAGTTAGCTGTGAGTAACTGAAGGACTCCTGTACCATAGTGTATTCCCCTCTCTATACATGCATCACATATGCTTCTCTCAGCAGGTGACTTCTCCTGTCACCACTGTTCCCTTCTTGTGCACCTCAGTCAAGATTGAGAGAGGGGCTCTTCGCTTCAAATACCCACTACTCTCCCAACATCGAAAGGATTTTTTCTTCAAACACTGTCACTCTCTCACATTCAGTTATGTGTCTCAAGTATGCAGAATCCACATCTCCCTTTTAATCAGTGCTTCCAACCCGGAAAGGGGGAAATAATTTATTAATGAGATGAGACATTTCCTAGGCCTACAGCTGCAGTCCATTCCTTACTTTTCATCTGGAATTTCAATTAGGCTTCGCAATGATTAGTAAATACCACTGAATGAAATACATGGTATTTTCAGGCAACAACCAGAATACTTTTTCATGAGGAAACTTGTTCAATTTCTGCCCAAGGATAGACTCATTTTTGGTCTAAATACTGGAAGAACTAGAATTTTATCAAAAATCACTGAGACAATTCACTAATATTAATATTCCACAGTTTGAACCAGAGCTTCTGTGGTATAAATTAGAGCACTGCATTTAATCACTTGTTCTGGGCCTTTGATTTACTATGTATTTAGTCACTGAAATGGGAACCTTTTCCCCCTTCCCCTTTTTAGTGGAATAGTATCACATTAACAAGATCTGCTAATAAACAATTCCATCAGAAGCCATTAGCTTATTCTGAAGTCTCTTTGGCTGCTAATTTCTGATTGGAGAAAAGAAATATGAACACAATGTCTTGCTCTTCAAGCTATCTTCAGATCATTTGCACCTTGAAAGTGGTATTACACTAATAAAGAACAATTCCACATATGTTTCTAAAGAAATCTTAAGAATATGTTCCTGCAAATGAGGCTGTTTAAAACACAACTGAGCTACGGCTAACAGTCTGATTCATTTAACCTCTTAGATTACTTACTTTAGGATGAATCCTTATTGTTGCAATATCAGACCTCTTGTCAATGTCCTTGATTGTTGCTTCATAGGAATCTCCAGTCTGTAGCTGCACTTTTAACTGTTGTCGCCCTGATATAGCATTGCTGCTTGACACCACATGGGCATTGGTTACAATTAAACCTGAGTCTGACATAATAAACCCAGATCCACTGGACAAGGGGACATTTCGGCCAAAGAGAGGATGTCTGTAACAAAAGCAAACAACAGCTCATAAATTTAACAGCTGGTGGAGAATAGGAATATCATTATCTAGCAAGTTTGCAGCAGCTCAGAGATATATATGACCTTTCATGCTGAAGAATCCCAAAGCACTTTATCAGTGATACTACATCTGGTAAAAAAAAAAAAAAAATAAATAAAATACCGAATTTTAAAACTTTGACAAAAAAAGAATATCATGCAAGGAATTCTCAAATGTAGAACTGTGGAGCACTTTGCCAGAGGTTTACAAAGAGATGGAAGGTTGTATGGTCCTTTTACATCTTTGTATTCAGCCGCCCCAAGCAAAAACATTTTTTGACGCCCCTCCCCTTTTTTGTTGGCTTTTAAACGTTTGCACTTTGCAATGTTTTTGTTTGTTTGTTTGTTTTCATTTTTGTCCCGGCATTTTAGCCCTATAAATAGCAAATATAATTTTAATTATTTTTTTCCATAAAGGCAAAGGCGCTTCAAGTAAACTCCCTCTCCCCTTTCACTCGCTGCTAGGTCACAACAGCCTTTTCCCTGCCCTGTCCAGCCCCTCCCTATGGACAAGCATCCCTCACTTCCGACCCACAGGGGGAGCAGGGTTCAGGGACAGTGCAGAGCCAGAGGGGCATGGGGAACAGGGGGAGCAGGGTTCACCATGGGGAATGGCTGGTGCAGAGCCAGAGGGGCGTGGGGACCGGGGGAATCAGAGGGATTGGGGTGCCGGGGTTTGAAGAACCAGAGAGGTGCGGGGAACAGTGTGGGGGGTACAGGGGTGGCGCAGAGAACGGAAGGCACAGAGCCAGGATGCAGGGATTGGGAGGAGCAGGGGTGGGGTACAGGGAAGGCACGGGGAATGGGACGCAAGGAACAGGAGGGGCAGAGGGATCGGGGTCCAGGGACAGTGTGGGGAATGGGGGGCATAGACCCAGAGGGGCACAGGGAAAAGGGAGAGCAGGGGGACCAGGAAGCAGGGTGCGGGGCGCGGGGGTGGCACTGGTAACGGGAGGCGCAGAGCCAGAAGGGCGTGGGGCGGAGCAGGTGCAGCGAGCCGGGCAGCCGGCGGGGAATGGTTTCTCACCAGCGAAGGGGGCTGGGGCTACAGCAGGACTGGAGCCAGCAGAGTGGGGAGGAGCCTGGCCGTGCCGCACTTCGCAGCCAGCTCTCGGGGACATGCAGCCAGAGCTGAGCTCATGCGGCCCTTTAAAATCAGTGGGGTGGGGCCGGGCATTGCTGGGGGCAGCTGGGGTACGTCTACACTACATGGCTCCGTCGACGGAGCCATGTAGATTTGTTTATTGGGCAAAGGGAAATGAAGCAGCGATTTAAATAATCACCGCTTCATTTAAATTTACATGGCTGTCGCGCTGAGCCGACAACAGCTGATCAGCTGTTTGGCAGCTCAGCGCACTAGTCTGGACGCTCCCCTGCTGTTTGTCGGCTCAGCGCGGCAGCCATGTAAATTTAAATGAAGCCGCGATTATTTAAATCGCTGCTTCATTTCCCTTTGCCTACAACCCTCATCTACATGGCTCCGTCGATGGAGCCATGTAGTCTAGACACAGCCCTGCTTACCTGGAAATGCCGCCCCTGGAAATGTGCCGCTCCAAGCACGTGCTTGATTTGCTGGTGCCTAGAGCTGGCCCTGCCTAGATGCCAGTAAAGTGAGCCAGAATAAAGGAAAAGGAAACGGCTCATCTGACTCCACTTGTCGTTAGGTGAGGGGGGAATGAAGGGAGGAAACAAGAGCTTCCTGCCACCAAAAGGAGCTACAAATGGGAATGGGGCCCCTGGTAGCAGTGGGGAACCAGGGAACAAGGGAGAAAGGCCTCAGGGAGCTGGCCAGTTTGTACAGGGACAAAGAGGAATTGGCAGCAGGCACTCATGGGTAGGAGAGCAGAGCAGGATGCACAAAAAAGCATGTTTAGGAAAGGCCAGGGCAGAGAAGGGGAAAGCAGTGATAGAAAAGGAGACAAAATGAATACACAAGCAAGTGGTGTGATTTAGAAAACCAGCAAACACAGTACTAAAGACAGCTACAAATACATTACAGATTTTTCTAAGTATGACACTTCCTTGCAAGCAATTGCTGCCACTGTTACAGGTGTTTTATGCAAAAAGAAAGGGAGTTGGCTTCAGTGCTAGCAAATGGGTGGAGAGCTGGTCCAGGAATCTATCTCCCTGGTAAGATGCAGTTCATGCTGTGAATTTATTTGAAGCCCACAGTCCTTATAGTAACAATCCAGTGCAGCCAGCCCTGCTGGGACACAATCAGCGCCCAATGTACGACAATGACTGGGAAATGAGGAGTTAATTTGATCAGAATTTGTACAAGGAATCTGTGGCAAATGTTTTCTTTTCTGGAAAGGCGAAAGGAATTTTAATATGTACACACACAGAGCAAACAGGGCTTGTGTTTAAACATTTTTGCAAATGACTGAACACTGTTAACTATTAAAGATTCATAGGCTTTAAAGGCAGAATAAATTAGTCAAACCTCCTGCATATCACAGATCATAGAAATCCACCAAGTGATTCCTGCATCATGCCTATAACTCACTGGTGGGTAACTTGTGGCCTGCAGGCTGCACTCAGGTCATCAGGGTAAGCTGCTAGTAGGCCACCATATAGGTTGTTTACATTGCATCCACAGGTATGGCCACCAGCATCTCCCATTGGTTGTGGTTTGCCCTTCCTGACCAATGGGAGCTATGGGAAGAAGCAACCAGCAAGTCCCTGAGGCCTATGCCACTTCCCACAGCTCTCATTGCCCAGAAATAGCAAAGCACCACCAATGGGAACAGCAGGCAATCTTAACTGCAGACAAAAGGTAAATAAACTCTCTCCTGGTTCACCAACAGTTTAACCTGATGAGCCTTGTGTGGCACACTAGTTGTAGGCTGCCCAACACTGCTATAACTTCTCTTTGAGCTGTGGCAGACCTTTTGGAATGACAACCAAACAATGTAAGACATCATGTGATGAAGAATCCCCCAGATCCCTAGGCAAGTTGTTCCAATGGTTCATTACCTTGCCTGTTAAACATTTGTGCCTTGGTTCTCATCTGAATTTATCAAGCTTCAGCTTCCATCCATTGGATCTTATCATGCTTTTGTCAAATAGATTCAAGAGCCTTCTACTACCAGATATCTTTTCCCACTTAAGTACTTACAGCTGTTGATCAAATTTCCTCTTAACCTTCTGTTGGATAGAGTAAATAGACTGAGGTTTAGACTCTCACTGTAAGCCTTTTTCCAGCTTAGCTTTTGGTGTAAATTTTTCCCCCTGGCATGGTTTGTATTTTACATTCTGTCTAAATCAAGATTGAATGAACTTCAAAAACAAATAAGATAGCTTCATTGTACACCATATAAGAACTGATCTATCCAGAGGCTGTGAGGATAGTTTATGTTTGTACAATTCTGAGGAGCTTTGAAGCAGTATAAGTAGTTAGATACTATTAGTACTATCATTTCTTATCCACTTAATACCAGGATTCCTTCCTGTTTTAGAGTAGATCTGGTGTCCTCTACACATGCACGCTTAGGTGAACTAACACTGGACTGATCCAGGTCCAGGGTGGTTGAGACATCATATAAGAATACAGGCAGTCCCCGGATTATGTACAAGACAGGGACTGTAGGTTTGTACTTAAGTTGAATTTGTAGTTAAGTCGGAACTGGCGTCCAGATTCAGCCGCTGCTGAAACTGACCAGCGGCTGACTACAGGAAGCCCGAGGCAGAGTTTCTCTGCCCTGGGCTTCCTGGAATCAGCTGCTGATCAGTTTCAACAGC